TTGCTCAGTGAGAATCTGCAGAACAATCCTTAACTAAATGAGGGTTCTGAAGTCTGTGCAAGGGTATTCAACATTTCTATTTTTAACACTCACTTGTTGGTAAGTTGGTTTCTTACACTCATTTTTTCTTATATGAATTAATATAATAGGGCCCAGGTACTGACTCCTGCACAAATAAGTTGCTTTTTCCTATTGTTCTCTTTTATTACAATATAATAATATTCACTTTTTAAAACTTTGGGAAATTGAATATATATTAAATGTCATAAGAAATAAAAACGTTTGACTACTAATGTATTCATGATAGCATCCACTAACTTCTATGAGACCGCACAGAGTATATTGAAATTGTCTTCAGATAAGAAAACAGCAATTCTAATAAGGAGATAAAGCACTAAAAAGCTGCCAACACTGATGAAAAACAAGTTAACTGAAACAAACAAACAAACAAACTGCCAAAGTCTAGAACAGCAGAATAGCTATAATGGGCAGGAGTGGAGCCTGACTTACATATATATATATATATTCCTTCCTTCCTTCCATCCTCTTTCTTTTCTTTCTCTGTAAATAATTTAATATTTTGCCAAGTAAATTTTTATAAAAGAAATTATAAAAGAATTTTTATAAAAGGAAAAAGAATTAATCATTTTCACTCATGATTCAATGATTCTTTTGTTTCCCTTGTATTCAGAATTACAAATTTAGAATTGAAAGGGACAATGATAATAACTAATGTGAGATTTATATTGCACAAATTATTTACATGTGCAGAATATGTACAGCTTACAAAGCGGTTTCATTGGTATTACCTCCTTGATGCACCCAAAACACCACAGAGCAGGTGACACTGCCACTATTTCAGATGAAAGGATCCTAAAGGTAGTGATTTTCTGAGCGGCCCGATTCAGTTTAGGAGCTTCTTTTTAAATAACTACTGCCACCACATTTTTCTTTCCACTCTGTGTACCTTACAGATATTTCTATTTCTTATAATAATCCTCTAAGGTAGGTATCATGAGTCTGCCTCATTTATACTAAACACCAAATTCCAAGTGACTAAATGACTTTCACAAGGTCACATAATTAGTACATTCCAGTCTTGCTAAAAATTGATATTATACTTTCTAATCAAGATGTCTACATTTTACACTGAGAGATTGTCAACCAGCCTTTACTTACATACTTCTAAGATTAGGAAACTTTCTGTGTACTTAGTCTGATCTATTATCAAGTATTTTGATCAACAGTTTCTTTATTGTTAATTAAAATTTCAGCTCTTTGTTAGATTCAGTGATAAGTTCCAAAGATTCTCTCTTTTATAAAGAGTCTTTAATTCTATAAGGAGAATTAAAGCATTACAATATTAAATAGAGTAAATAAGAAAGTAATTATTTTTGTTTGCATCATGGACTGGAACCAGGCCTTAATGAATCTTGTCCCTCACCCATTGGCTTTTGAATCACAGGTAGGTAAGCAATATCCTTCACGATCTGAAAACACTGGCAAGCTTATCACTATATGTTGCTTGCATTCTTGGTGTATTGTATATGACTTACCAAAGGCCGATCAGACCCTCAGGTTTGCAAGTGATTTCTTCAATAGGTCATCTCATCAGACATCCCTGCTGATACTTGAAAACTCTCTAGAAATGCCCTGCAAGTGAATGTAAGTATTTATTTAGCCTGTAGCATGTGATATACCTACAGGCTGAGAAACACGATGTTGCCTGTCCTATGCTGGATTGAGAACAGAGGGAATTAGCACACTTAACACATACACCAAACCATATGGTATTTATTTTCCTATCTTATAGGTGAGATGGTTGAACAAATTGATGCAAGGTGCATATCCCCAGTAGGTTTTATGCAAGTATTTGAACCTCGACCTAACTGGTTCATGTTTATACACCACATTATCTAATGAAACAAAACATAAGCAAATAATTTAGCTGATTACTTCTATAACACAAATTCTGAAATAGAAAAGGCTTTTGTTTTTCACTTTTTTTTTTCTTTATATTGGTGAGTTGGAATGAATCACTGGCTGAATAATGCCTGAGGATCTCCAGAGAACTCTCAATGTGTGACTGATAAAATCAACACATAATGGATGAGTTTAGAAATATGAATAGTCTTCTTAAGGAAAATGAATAGTTCCTAAGCCAGAATAAGACCTGACTCATTGTTATTAGCTAAGCTAAAGAGGAAAAAAAAAAAATATATATATATATATATAATTTTTTATATATGTCAAGAGAAAATAGGTTGTTAGCAATGGCAGCTCAGAAAAATGTAGAGAGAGGAAAACCAGCGTTAGCAGTGTGTATCTGGACAGAGTCCAAGGAAAGAAAAATTGTATCTGGATGATGTGAGAATTATCTCAGGGAAACTCTGGGCTCCTCTGCATCCAACCCATTTATGCTATATGTGCCCTTTCCTAAGAAAATAATTACTAATCGGAGTGGCCAAGTTTGAGGACATTGATTTGATCTGATTTTCTAGGAGAAAGGGGTTGAGTTTAAGAATAAATCTTTATTAAGGTAAATGCCTCTTCTACACTTCCTTGAAACAGCTTCATTTCACAAAGCTAGCAAGACAATCCTAGACCCAGTGTTACTTATTTCTATCTGGATGGGGACCAAAGACCAGGTGTCTCTGGATTGTAGGACAAACTATCCTCATCCCTATGGGCAGAATATCCAAAGTTGACTGTAGTTTGAAATTGAAGTAATAAGATCTGAGATTTCGCATGAGCTTCATGAAAATAACAGAACCGACTACTCAGCCTGCTATAATGCTAGGCTCTAGATTGACTCTCTAGCCTATTCTATTAGATTATTGTCACAATAGGCCTATAATGTTGAAGAGCAATGCAATAGAAGTTTCTTGATCATATTAGAGATGGGTTCCCGTTTGACAGGAAAACAAAGTGGCAGTGTGCATGTTTTGAAGTGTTTGTTGAGGAGAGGGGCCCTTCTCTACATATTCATTCATGAACCAAGGCTATGTTAGTTCTTATTTCTAACATCTTCAGTTCGTAACTCCCAAGGTTGCCCTTGGGACCACCTCCTTCTCCACGACGAAAGCAGCAAAAATCATAGAGAACCATGTGGAAACATTTTTATGATCATGCCTATAAGTGGTACATATCACTTCCAGTCATATTCTATTAGCTACAACTAGTCACATGTTCATTGTGCAAAGGATCCTGGGAAATATAGTTTAGCTCTGTTCCCAGGAAGAAGAAGAGAAAGATTTTTGCCAACACCATTCAATGCAAAGAAAACAAAAGTCTTTCTACTTGTGGAGCAGCTAAGATCATAGAAGGACTAACTGTGGTTGGGCACACCATTTTCTATCCTCCCCAAAGCATTTCTTGTGTGTTACTGTGGTTGTTGTTGTTGTTGTTGTTGTTGTTTTCCCAGAAATTTTCCTTTTTTTCTTTCTGTCCTTCCTTCCTTTCTTCCTTCCATTCCTTCTTTCTTTCTTCTCTCTCTCCCTCTGTCCCTCCCTCACTTCCTTCCTTCCTTCCTTCCTTCCTTCCTTCCTTCCTTCCTTCCTTCCTTCCTTCCTTTCGTCTCTGATAAAACTTACTGGAATGGACCTAAGTTTTGGAGTGGAATCATCTGGGATTGAAGGCCAGGTCTTTAATTCCTAGCTACAAAACTTGATAAAGTTTTAGTTTCCTCACCAGTAAAATGGAGATAACACTATTGAGGCAGGGAGAAGGACACTCCAGAATAAGATCTGATATTAGGGAGATTCTGTGCATTGGTCAGAGCAGCTCATGTTAGAACAATCTGATCAATAGGTAAATGGTGAATAATCTATTTTGGGGTTTGACTGAAAATAGTCACTTGAAATTTTCAACCTCTTTTGTTTTTGTTTTTCTTTTTTCCTTTCATCAGCTTTACTGAAATATAATATACATATAATAACATTTGCTAATTGTAAGTGTGCAAGTTGATAAATTTTGACAAATTATATAGTACTTACTATAAAGGCAGTCATTATATAAAATATTTACATCTACTCTCATCTCCCCAAACTTTCTCTTATGCCCTTTTGAGTCAACATCTCCCACCTCCACCTCTAGTCCCTGACAACTATTGACCTGATTTCTATCACTATGGCTTTCCCCTTTCTAGAATTTCATAATAATGGAATCATAAAATTTGTTTTTATGTCTGGGACTCTTTAATTTAGCATGATGTATATTAACAGCTAATTCATTTTAATTGGTGAATAGTATTCTATTGCCTAGATATACCAATTTTGTTTATAAATTCTACTCACAAGCTAATGAACATTTGTAATGTTTTTGATTTTGGCTAATATGAATATGTCTGCCATGAACATTTGAGTATAAATCTTTGTATGGACACAAGTTTTCAATTCTCTAGGAATGGGGACTCAGTGGAAGTCTTGCTTTGTTAGGATGCTTATTAATTTATGTGTGTTTGCTAATCTGGCTTCTGTCATCATTTAATACTGGGAAAGAACATGCTTTGCATAAAAGGCAATGACTTTCGATTACTTAAATGATAAACCTCCATTTAATACTTTGGTTGCTTTTTATAGCAATCTCTCAAGCTTGGCCAATGTGAACTTGACACAGCAATAACAATATAATAGCTATGCTCTTGTAGGTTTCTTCTATGAGGTGGGTCATAGCAATAGCAACGGCAAGTATTTAAGCCTTAATTACTCTGCCAATGAAATATATTGATGTCTTCTGCTGTTGTTGATAATGCAGAAACTAAAATGCAGAGATTATCAGATTTGCCTAAGGTTATCAGTTAGGAAGAGGCATAGAATAGAATTCAAATCCAAATCTGCCTGAATTCCCATATACGACTCATTTCTCTTAGTATATTCAGACAGCTCTAAGAGAATACCATGCACTGGGTAGCATATCAACAACAGATATGCATTTCTTACAGTTCTGTAGCCTGGGAAGTTCAAGATCAAGGTTCAGGTCTGGTAAGGGCCCATTTACTAGCTCTTATTTTTTTTTTTTTTTTTTTTTTTTTTATGATATCCTCACATGGAAAAGGGGGAAAGGGATCTCTCTGAGGAAGCTCTTTTATAGAGGCACTAATTCTATTTATGAGGACAGAGTTCCAAAATGCCCTACATCCAAATACTCTCACATTAGAGATTAGTTTTAATATATGAATTTGGGGGAGACACATTCATTCTGTAGCACCACTGTTATCTATGTTTTTTAGTCTGCAAAGCTAAGAAAAATTTTCTGGCCACGGATATCCACTATGGCTCTGAGAAGAACTATAAGGGTGTCTGGCAGTTCCTCTCTTCTTGACAAGCATTCTTCTATCTGTGGCAGATCATGCAGAGTAAGTATTGGCCACAATTACTTTCTATATTACATAAAATCCATTTGGACCTTTGAGAGTTATTTCTATAAAACTTTCTCAATAAAAAAAAAATTAAAATAGGTATTTGATGTTTTAAATAAATATTATTACTGCAGTCCTAGACAACAGAAAAGTCTCCTAAAAATAAATCACCAATTCAACAGGTAAGAGACTCTCTTCACACACAAACTCTTTAACAACAAAAATTAAGCCCTAAAAATAATCCTTCCCTGTAAGAGTGCCATGTACATGTGACTCCAGGACATATCACCTTAACAGCACTCAGGATCTAGGCAATGAGAAAAAAAAGGAGTACTGTGTATTTGTTAAACTCCCTCATCTTTACAAACAACAATGGAACACTTTAGCTACTTTATCTATACCTCGCATATAAGCCCAACATTGTTTTGCTTATGAAAAATTCTCAAATAAATACTTATTCTAGACTACAAGGTCAACTTGTTACTTCTTCGCCCATGAGTTTCGATGTCACCATCCCAGTGTTAGGCAATTGTTTTCTACTAGGACTTTGTTTCAGTAATGGCTGAAGGAAAGATTACTCATAGATGTAATTTCAATGAATATCATGATGTAATTTTAAAATAAAATAAAATAAGATATAAGACAAATTCAGCTCTTTAAAAAAATTCCATTAAGTCATTCAATTTGTACTTTATACCGAGAAGGGCTGGTGGTCCAAGGAAGCTAGATTATGTTCATTTGATGGCTTCTTGAGACACTAGTTGGGGTATCTCACAACTGCCTCACTGTGTAACGAATCAACATTTTCTCCTATTTCTCCCTGTTCTTTCCTTTGTGGCAAAGCTTATCAGAAGAGACACGGTCTTTGGAGAAGAATGATCTTGAAGTGCAGGCCAGCTCTTTCACTTTCTAGCTACATGATTTCTTCAAGTTTTAGTTTCCCCATCAGCCTAATGATAGTGATAATAATTATTTACAAGGTGGTCCTGAGGATAAAGAGGCTGCTTATTCCATTCCTCGAGGTAGCAAATATAAAAGGAGAACAAATTTATGAGGGAATTATAAATTCATTCCTGTGACGAGTTCAACTGCTATTTGAGGCAGCCATAAAATATTTTAAGATGGTAGATATGTACCACACAGCCAAATGGTCATATCAGAGGTATAGACTTTTGAGAGCCATCAAGTGCTCAGTCTGTATGACTACTTAAGCATAGGGAGGGATAAGTTTGTTTAAGGAGAGGTTATAGAGTCACAGGATTCTGGACAGAGGGGGCAGGGGTAATGGGAATATCAGTACATCAGGAGTGGGCAGCAGAGTCTCCAAAGCAATGTAGAAGAATCCAGAGAAGAAATACATAACCATGATTTTCTGAATTTTTGTGAGCTGGTGTTGCTATGCAGAGCTATTTTCATAAGACTTTTGTTCAGTTGATTAAAAACATCCTTGAAAAGAGCATTGCGTAACTCCATGGGAAACCTATAACTGTCTAAATATTCAAGTTTTCTAAGAGTTTGGTAGCAGCTGGTTAAGCAGTCTTTTCTTCTATTCTCCAGGTTAGAGAGAAATGCTGCCAAAAACCTTTCACTGGCAGAGAGACCAATCCGGATGCTTTCCTTATAGGAGAGGCTGCTTTGGGAGCAAAATTAAAAAGGGGGTAAAAAGCTTGTCAGACAATAACGTTCACATCTCTGGCTTGATCTAGTTTATCTCTTGACTCCATTCAACAAATATCCTATTTACTGAGCAGCTATCACATAAAGCATTGGGCGGGGCTATTAGGAGGAAAAAAACGAGAAGCAATTTTTGCCAATGGGAAATGTCTAGTGCAATACAGAGCCATGCCAAGTTATGAAGACAAACACAGAAAGAATGCCAAACAGCATGCCAAAATCAAAATATCTCTATATTTTCTTGAACTAAACATGGAATTTCATTTTGTACTTACTTTCTGTTTCAGGCAATATTTTGTTTTCCATGAGAAAGGTATTAGTCTCTCCATTTTACAGCTGAGTTAGTTAAGGCAAAGAGACTTTAATTTACCCAGTATCACAAAGTCAACAGTGGCTGAAGGTAAAATATTACCTGGTTCTATTCAACAGCAACCCAGTTTTTCACAATATCTCTTGGTCACACTGCAATTATAAATGCAAAAAAAAAATCACAAAATTTTAAATAACAATACACTGTTTACCTCTTAAACCCAGAAGAGACATAGAGAGGGTGGGGAGACAGAAGAGAAGAAGGAAAGATGAAAGGATAAAAGAGTGAGAGCAAAAGGACAGAAAGTGAGAGTATGAAGGACTGAAAGAAGGAAGAAAAAGGAACTAAACGATACGGACAGTAATGCTTCTTCTGAGCTAAACACAAACATTTCTGCCCAGTCAATACTTCTTTATTTAAATTTTATTTATTTATATTGATGGAGGGAGTGGCGGGGTGGGGGAGAGAATCCCAAGCAGGCTCCACTTTGTCAGTGCAGAGGTACAGAGCCCAACACGGGGTTGGGGGGGATCATGACTTAGCTGAAATCAAGAGTTGGATGCTTAATCAACTGAACCACCCAGGCACACCCCAGTCAATAATTATTTTAAGAGTTTCCGGGGTGCTTGGGTGGCTCAATCGTTTGAGCATCCAACTTCAGCTCAGATCAGGTTCTCCTGGTTCGTGAGTTTCAGACCTGCACCAGGCTTGCTGCTGTCAGCTCAGTGCCGACTTAGGATCCTTTGTCCTCCCCTCTCTCTGTCCCTCGCCTGCTCATGCTCTCTCGCAAGAACTAATAAAGAAAATTTCTTCCCTAGATTCCAAAAGGTGAAAGATGATTACTCAGTCAGACTTCTTCAGAGGGCAACTAAAAGTTGTAAAGTTAATAATGTTAAAGTGGTTTCCAGAAATCAAGTAAAGCAAGATAAATAAAACTCAAATGGAAAATAGAACCAAATATAAAAATCAGATTGTGTTATTATTAACACCAGGGCTCTGAAACAAAGGTAGAATATTTATAGACCTGTAGCCTATGAAATGAAGGAAATGTTTCTATAGCATGCAGATGTATGATATGAATGCAGGTGTATATGCACCTAATACTTTGCCTACTCTACACGTATCTCAGGATCTGCTAAATGTAACGGAAAAAAATGTAGGACTCTAGTTAGAAACCTTTAGTTCAACCTGGCCTTTATCCTTTATGCAATTATTTAGAAAGATAATTTATTTTATATGGACATCGGGGTACTCAGCCTTAAAACTGAAAACATTAACTTATCTGTCATATGCATAAAGATTGTTGTGTTTATCTATCTTAAAGTGAATCAAGGTGGTTATAGTATGATATTTAAGGACATGGGCTTTGGGATACCTGTCCAGATTTAAATTCAGGCCCTGCTTTTAATACTACACAAGTTATTTAACTTCCCTCACTGTAATTCCCTCATCAGTAAAACAGGGACCCAACTTAGGAGGAGGCTATGAGGGTTGTTTGAGATGGCGTATATAATATGCCCTGCATACCACTCCCTATTTGTTAATCAAGCTCTTAACAAATGCTATTTGACAATGGTGAAGATGATGGCAATGATGGAACAAAGACACTGGATGTGGTAAAGAGGATGCCTGGGATGGTGAAGGCGTAATATCCTCTGGGAAACCTTCCCTGACCCTTTCCTCACCCCTGGAGATAGGAATACCCTCCTCTATACCACTATACAAATTTGCATACTTCCACTCTAGATGTTGTTAACCTAATCCTGTTGTCACTGAATTTCCTGTCCTTCCTTCCTGCTAATCTATGAACATCATAAGCTCTACCCTAGACTTTTTTAATTTCCTCATTGCCCTGGACAGTAGCTTGCAAGGAATATCTGTTGAATCGCTGAATCAATGGAGATAATATTTTAGATAGCACACCTTCAACTCTAAAGCAGTGCAGGAATGCCCACAAGTATTAGTGCAGTTGTTTATATAGGTTTTTGCTCCTGTTCAATTATTCTTCCAAATAATAACACTCTATGTGTTGGGAAGGTATCCAATATCTCTACTACCTGTGACTGTGAAAGCAGCTGTTCTTTGTTTGGTATGAAAGCAAAACAGGAAAAAAAATTGACTTGGAGCTGGAAGTACTTGATACAACACAAAAGAAGAAAAATTCAAGGAGTACAAAACTTGAGGGTGAAAATGCAATCAAAGAACAGCGTTAGCATCTCCTGGAATTTTATTAGAAACTACCTCAGTCCTCCTGAATCAGAATCTGCATTTTAACAAAATGCTCAAGTGATTCCTGCTCATAATGAATTTGAGAAGTTCTCCTAGAAAACCCGGCACACTCAAAGAAGCACACAGTGAGTTCTCTTTTTCTGGGCTCTTTTTAGGAAAAACTAGGTAGTAAGAAAGGAAACAAATGTCAACAAGCCACCAGCTATGTACCAAGCTAAGAATACGTGTTTTGCTATATGTTTTATTTTATTTTTTTAAATTAATGTTTTCTTTATTTATGAGAGAGAGAGAGAGAGAGAGTGAGCAGGGGAGGGTCAGAGAGAGAGGGAGATACAGAATCTGAAACAGGCTCCAGGCTCTGAGCTGTCAGTACAGAGCCCGATGCGGGGCTCGAAGCCAAGAACCGTGGGATCATGACCTGAGCAGAAGTCAGACACTTAGCTGACTGAGCCACCCAGGTGCCTCATCTATATGTTTTATTTTAATCCTTCTAGTATTTATGAACAGTTTATGTTCTTACCATTTCTTTTACAGATGTTCAGAAAGGATGAATAATGTACACCTCAGTGATACATAGTGGGCAAGTGGCAAAGTTTGAATTTGACCTGATGATTCTATTTCAAAGCCTGTTTTACGGGAAGGGTCTTCAAGCCCTAATTTAGTAACCTTGCACTCAAGTCACCAAGACTCCTTTCCAGCATCGTCAGAGAGACACTGTTATTTCTGACCATCTGAAGTTCTGCAAGAGAACACCACTGGAGTCAGTCCAGGCTGGATTCAGGCAGATGCGGGTTCCATTTCCAGCTTCCCTTCTTACTTGCTACGCAACATCACGCTGAACCAGAATTATAGCTAAAGGGCTGCTACCACAGCTTAATATCACATAAAGCCCTGGGCACAGTACCTGATGATGGGGTTTTGGAGTGGTGGGGGTCAGAGCTAATGTCCATGAAAGAATTCTTGAAGATGTCTTTGGTGCAAAAAAAAGGTGATTTTACTAAAGCATGGGGACTGGACCCATGGGCAGAAAGAGCTGCACTGGGTTTGTGAAGAGTGACTGTTTATATATGATGAAGTTGGGGGAGGTAAACGCAAAAGGGAGGCCTCTGGAAGGACTTTGATATGCTAAAGAGGACTCCTAAGATACCTGAGGCCTTTTTATTGTCATTCTCAGGTTATTTCCCCACTCCCTAGGAAGGCATTAACATTAGGACAGTAGGGGGTTCCTGGAGAAATGTTATACTCTGTATTTGTCAATGGGCTGCAGGTTATAAGGAAATTCAATGCTACTTGTGATTTCCTTCTTGCCCTCCTTCCCCACATCACCATGGAGGTGAGGATGATGTTAGGGCTCCAGGAACCGGAGTCTAAAGGTTTCTGGAGATTAGGCTATTGATAAGATTGCCTTTTTCTTGTAATTTACTAAGATATTTGTAAACTAATGGAGACCTACATCCTGTATGACTGCAATCTCTGTCAGCTAACCATTTGTTTTCTGTCCTTCCCTTTGTTCTTGGGCAACTAAGTGCCTGAGGAATATCACACATATACCACGTTGGGGTAAGGGATGTGCTAGTTTGTGCCTCACCCTCAGCTTGCCTTATGCTCCCTCATCACCTGATATACATTAATTACTCTGAAGAGCCTGAAATCAAGATCTATTAAGAGCAACCTCGGGCTCCATGTAGCCCCAGTTCTAGGAAAAGCTTCAGCTAAAGCCACCCTCGGACCACCCCTGGATCAGCCAATCAAAAGAAAGGTGTAACATTCCTGTGGTCTGAGTCAGGGCTGGGAACTGCAGATAGTTACACTCTACAAACTAGCCAATCACTCACCGCTTGCCTAAACCCCACGTAGGCCCTTTGAGCTCACCTCATAATTGGTCATTTTCAAAGGATTCTCAAAGGTCATGATTGGGTCCCACCAAAAGTAACAGATGCCTCACAGATACTGAATGGTCAAAACTGTTACCATGGGTGCTGTACAATTATGATTGGTGCTATGTGATGATGCTATATGTACAACGTGTGCACTGTGACACCCCCGTCCCTTACCCCATAAAAAACTCTGCTCATTATTGTTTGGGGCTTCACCTTGCTGCCGCTGTACCGGAAGACGGGTGAGGCCCTGCTCGAGCTTGTAATAAAGACCTTTCTGTACTTGCATCGGTGCCAGCTCCTTGGAGGTCTCTGGGGACTTGCGATTCGGGTATAACAGCTCAACAAATGGTAACTGCTACTCCAGTTAAATTATTAATTTCTCAGCATCTTACTTAATATAAATAATGACACTTCATAACAGTTTTAGAGTGTTTGCTTACTCCTCCATTCATATTGTCAATTTTATTAGTTTACTGTATCTGGACATTTCAAAAGAGCCTCAAACCAAATATAACTAATTCCAAACTTATGATCTTTCCCTCCTGCCCTCTTGCACAGCAGCCTGAACTATCTCCATCATATCAGTTATTATACTGCCTTGTAATTCACTTTATATCTCATTAGAATATGACTTCTTTAATATCAATGGCTGAATATCATTCACCTCTTAAATCTCCAGTCCTGAACACAGTGCCTTGCTCATTGAAAACACTAGGTGACTTTTTATGACTTTTGTCCAGAAATGCTTTGTACACTACTCAAACCTTAGTAAGATCAGAGAAACACCATTTTTAATTGTCCCAGAGGGAAATGGCATGTTTACTATAGACTTCTAATTCAGTAACTTTACAAACTATCCTATGTTTGAGAAAGTAGACTAGTCACCCCAGGGTCTGGATTTATTATTAAAATGATGCTATATTCATAGCAAAATTTTACTTTAGGGCCCGGGAAGAAAATTCCCATTTGTGAAATAGTACTAGTTTGCCAGGCCACAGATAAACCCCACTGTAATTCTGGCTCTTTGGTATGAAGAAGAGCCAATTAA